AAGTTCCCCCGTCCTGCCAGGAGCGGCCCCGCGGAGCAGCTCCTTGCTGAGCCGCGACCCGAGCCGGCTACCTCCCTTCCCGCTTATTTTCTGGCATTTTGCAACGCACGTCCACAGGATCCGGGTTAAGGTTGAGCCCAGAACGCCCCCAGGGCAGCCACGACAACACGAAGCCGATGTGGGCACATTGAACCGATGCCCGTAAGTGACACCAGGTCCGGGAATGAGACGACAGGACCCACTAAGCTGCAGGGGAAGCAGTTTCCCGTCCCCCCTCGCATTGTCACCCTGCAAACGTGCCGTTTGGGGCTGAAACCCCCGGGGGCGTCACGGCAGCGCTGGGGCCAGCCCAAAACACAGCGCTCCCGGAAGCATCCGTGCACAAACACACTGCTCCCTCCAGCTTCCCTTGCACGGGCTAACAGCTCCCCCCGGCACGGCCAGTAACCGCTCAGTAAACTTTAAATTAATTGAAGATGGGTCCCTTGCAGAGAAAGAGCATCTGCGCGGGGTTCTTGGGGGCTCCCAGCAATCTGGGGAATGACAAAAATGTCGATGCGTCACCATCGCCGCACAGGCCAAATTAATTAAGAGGAGCCCTGGCTGCACTTGAACAAATAGCAGAAATCGCTTCAGCAGCGACGAACCCGCCGCGGCGGCCCCGGCCAGAGCCCGAATGGGATGGGAAGAGCCCCGGAAAAGCAGCAGGGAGGGAGGGACCCGGCGGGGGGGGCGCGACGCCCGGTGCGGAGCCGGCGCCCGCGGACTCACCCGTCCGGCCGCCGCGAAGGCCGGTTCAGCCGGCAGCAGTTGCACGGCCGAGCAGCCATTTTCTGTAACTTTTTGGCTACAGGTTTCCCGGGGAAAATTAAAAAAAATAAAATTTAAAAATAACCAATTTGCAGAAGCGCGTGGGGAGCTGCAGGATCGCCGTGCGTTCAGGAGCTCCGGAGCCGCTTCCCGCAGCAGGACCTCACGGGCTGCCCCCAAAAGCTCCCCGTTTTGTGCAGAAGCGCACGGGGCGCGCGGCTCGGCACCGAGCATCCATCCCAGCGGAGAACCAAGGGGAGACCCTGCGGGTCGGGGCTCCCAACGCGGCGTCGCTCCACGGGGCTCCGCGATGCTCCCGCACCCGGGGGTGACGGCTCCGCGACGCCGGGACAATAAATCCCCATCCCTTTCCCCTTCCTCCCGCGGCTCTTGCGCAAGGACCGGGCCCGCGGCCCGCACGGCCCCCAGCAGCGCTTGGGCACTATTAAACAGCAAACATCCCTTCCCAGTTCCCCTTTTCCTGGCTTGCCGGTTAACGGGGAATTGGCCACGCTCTGACCAGGACTCGCCGCTTTGCTCAGCTCCCAGCCCACCCCGGCCGCCCCTTCAGCCTGAACCTCCCCTGGAATCAACAAGCGAGGAGCCGGGATGACCGGGACGGCGCGGGAGCTGCCGCTGGGGAAGGAAGGCGCCTTCTGCTCCTGGCTCCCGCGGCCGGGACCCTCCAGGCAGCCAAGGCTCCGACCCCTGCCAAAATCCACGGATCCGGGCGCTAGAGGCGGCTGCAGGAGGAGCGCTTGGAAAGTGACTCACGTTAACCCTGCGCGAGCCCACGGGGCTCCCCGAGCGCTCCCGCCCGACACGGGCGTTTCTCCCCCCTTCCGAACCCTTCCTGCCTTCCTCCCTGCCGAAGCCTTCCCGAATTTCTCCCGCCCACGCTCCCCAAGTTGGCGCCGGCCGCTCCGGACCCCGCTGCAACGCGGGTGCCAACAAGACAGGCCAGGGCGGCGGGGAGGCATTTGTTATTGCTGGGGCAAAAGTCTCCCAGTTTTATCTTTTTAAAAAATAATAATAATTCCTCTGTGAGGCCAAATTAGCTGAGGGGAGCAACAACAGGGGTGGCTGCTGCAAAGGGACAACCCCCCGTCTGGAAACGCCGCGGCCATCGCAGGGAGCCTGGGGCGTTTGGCACCCGGGGACCCTGGGGAGTCTGGGGGGAAAAAAGTGGGGAAAAAAAAGGGGGAAAAGGCCCTGCGGATTTGCTCGTGGAAAGTTAAGGAAGGGGGAGGCCGCAGGCGCCCCTGGGCAGCGCGGAGCTGCTGCAGAGCCCCGGCGAAAGGGGCTCGGAAAACAGAAATAAATAATTAAATACAAACAAATGCAAATAAATACAAAAAAACAGAGA